GGAAGAGTCAAACAATGCAACAAACTTCATTGTTGTCTTATTTTAAGAAATAGCCACAAACATCCTAACCTGCAGCAACCAACACTCTGATCAGTCAGCAGCCATCAACATCGAGGCAAGACCCTCCACCAGCAAAAAGATTGCAACTTTCTGAAGGCTCAGATGATGATTAGCATTTTTTAACAATAAAGTATTTTTTAAGTAAAGTATGTACATTGTTTTTTGGACATAATGCTATTGCACACTCAATAGACCACAATATAGTGTAAACATAACTTATATATGCACTGGGAAACTAAAATTTCATGTGACTCACTTTATTGCAATATTTGTTTTATTGTGGTGGTCAGAAACTGAAACTGCAGTATCTCTGAGGTGTGCCTGTACAGTGTATTAGCTGACTCCTTTCCCTTTCACAAGGAGGCCTCTGATGAACGGCCCGTGGTATAGGAATGCAGAATGCGTAAAAGCATAGTGTGGATGGACCTTATTCCTTGACTGCATCTACCTCCAGTGTCTGAAGCTCACTGGCTATGCATCAAATTTGGTGTGGGGTGAGAAGTTTTTCCCTCATGAGAACTTCCAGGTAGAGATTTTGTAATTGTCTATGTTTGGGCCTAAAATATCAAACACAGGATTTTGGCCTGAAGTTGGATTCCTATATATATGTACATATACTCATACATGCACATATACATATTTTTACACACGCATACATATACATGTGCATGTATACATGAATATACACATACACAAACATTTAGAAATCATGAGTTCTCATGAGCACCTTCAATTTCAGTCCATCCCCTCAGGGCCTTTTCTTGCCTTCCTCCCTTTCACATCTGTATGTCCTTTCTTCCACTGTGTGAATCCTAACTCTGAATAACAATATATTTACTCATTTGCTCCACCTTGTTATGCTTCTAAAATTATTTTGGAACTGCTTAGCACATAAATCTAGAAAAACAAGCCTACTGAAAATATCTTTCCATATGTTTACAGTCTCTTCTCCACACTCTTGCCCATGAATGAGGGTCTCTGTCAAATACTGTGTTGATGAGTTACTTGCATTGGTGCTTTTTTTTTTCTTTCAGGGGGTTCATTTCTTTAAGTCTGCTTCCAATTTTAGTTCCTCTTTTGTGATTTAGTTTTGTTTTTGAAGTATGTGGAAGCTGAACATGCTTCTGAAAGTAAAAAATATCCCAAAAAGGGTGCTTAGAAGAGTGCTATTTCTTCCCCAGTTCTCTCTCTTTTGTTTTGTAGGTAACCAACTACATTTGTTGATATCTCATTTGTGTTTCATCTTGTACAGCCAATTCATTTTCCCTCTCTTTCTTTTTTTCTTATTTCTTATTTCCCCTTCTTCCATATATACATGGTACCATACAACTTTTCCCCTTTGGATTTTCTTTTTTCACTTAATATTGTCTACTGGAAATCCATCCAAGTCAGCTTATAGAGATTCTTTTCATTCCCTTTACATCTCTATGTATAGCTCTTTGTACCACATTGCTTACTATAATTTACGTAGTTTATAGTATATATCTTAGCTTATTCATCCAATCTTCCATGCTTGAATGTTTACGTAAAATTACAAATAATGCTATAATTGATAAATTGTACATATGCATTTTCATTGGTTAGTCTATGAAGTCTATATGATCTAAAAAGAATAAATAACAGAAATGGAGACTAATATAAACTATATATATGTTTGTAATATATATATATAGTTTTTGTAATAATGAGAAAGTTTCAACACACGTATATTAAAACTCTTCTCACAATAACCATGTTAGATCTAGCATTATGATAATGTAGTTATAACTTCATAAAAATGAGACTGTTGCTGTACACATTAATTTGAATTATAGAGATTTCAAAATAGATCTATTTTCCTTTTTAGTGGACTAAATATATCTCTTATGCAGCTCATGATAAAGTACTAGATGAAAAGCTTATGCTTGAACATAAAGAATCAATGTCAAAAACCCAAATGCAAGTAAAGAAAGAACTTCTATAGAGAAAAGACTCCCTAATAAGTACGATAATTATAGACAACTCTAAATTATTTTAAATTAATTACATCTAAAGATCTTTTTCTTTGGTTCATGAATCTGTATTTTATTATATATTTTATAGAAATTTTACATTTTGACCTAAAGTATAAATATCCTGAGATAACTAGAGAACAAAAGCTAAAGTATTCATAACTTTGGTTAATATTTCTGGTTGTAATACTATTTCACAGCCATGGGTCATGCAATCAGTATCCACCAAGGCCAAGAATGGACCAATAATTGTCTTTCACGGGATGTGTACCTTTCAGCCAACTCCAAGATGTTAGGAGTCCAGAAGGCCAATTCAATCCACTGTCCTGTGCAGTTGCCTTCTTCCAAAGACTCCAATTGGTGAAGAGAAGTTGCTGAGACCTATAACTTAAATGCAGATCAGAGGGACCAAGGGGAAAAGTGACCTGGGAGGCCTATTGGATGTACTCCAGAACATTCTGTTTTTTGAAATCCACTCATATGTAGAGGCCTTTTTGGTAACTTAATAGATAGTTTAAATTAGGATCCTATTGAGGGGAGTGTGAGAGTGCAAGTATCAGAATAGTGCCACAGATTTCCCAGCCTTGTTTGGATTTGTTGGCACTGGGAGGGACAAATATTTGGCAGTTGTCTCTTCTAGAATAAGTCATATTGCCCCTTCCCAAGGATTTCACTTGAACACAAGGTCCTGTACTATCTCTGTTTTAATAACCCAGCTGTGTTGCTGAATGTGGCTCAACACAGCATCTAGTCCTTGTTGGGTAGTGCCCTTGCTCGGGCCCACCAGGAGGATGTCATCAATATAGTGGAAGGCTAGTGCTCCATCTGGGAGTTGGGCTTTTTCCAGTTCATGGCCTTGTGGAAGGACATTAAATGTGTAATGCAACCCATTACACATAGGGCAAACTTATCCTGATCATTTGAGTGGACAGGGAGGCCATAACCGGCATTTGCAATATGAATTGTTTCATACCTACTTCCCTTAGCTTGTGAAATAGCCTTTATGGCAGTCACAATGTCAGGAGCACCAGTTTCTTGGGCTGTACCACAACATTAAGCCACCTATAATGAGTTGAGTTTATAGGCACCAGAGGCCATATGGACAGGTTGACTTAGTTATTGAATGGAGAAATAGTCTCATGGAGATCTGTGGCTTAGCTAAACTCAGCAATGAGGACAATAATTTCTTTTCTCCTCCAGGTAGTTGTTTTTGGAGACAAATCTCTAGGCTCTGGTATTCTGGTAGGTTTATAGCTGCACACGCTCCATTAAAAATGACCCTAACTGCAGCAGGGCTCGGCTTGGGGCTGATGTGAGTTGGAGTTTACATCTTTACTAACAATGCATTTGGTAGTGAGGGCTATAAAAATGGAAGTTTATAGTCCCCCAAAGCAACCCACCCACAATCAGGTCTAGGTAAGGGTCAGACAGCATTAACTGTTTCCTTTTCATCGTGGTATCAGTGTTGTGGAGATCACACTCACTAGTAAACTAATATCCAGATAGCCCAAGTTATGCAATTTCTCTCCACTGCCTCTTTGAACTCTGACTTGGCATTCATCCTCAGATGCCACTGGGGGCATAGAGACATTGGCCTACCCCTAATCTTGTTTATTTCTTTCTCTCTTTTTTTGAGATAACATTGTGTACATTTCAGGTGTCTAACATTATAATTCGACTTCTGTATATACTACCGTGTGCTCGCCACCAAAAATGTAGTTTCCGTCCATCACCATGTAATGGACCCCTTTATCATTTTCACCCTCCCTCCACCCGCCTTCCCTCTGGTAACTACTAATCTGTTGTCTGCTTCTATGAGTTTGTTTTTATTTGTTTCTTTTGTTTTTTATATTCCACCTAGAGCTCTAAGTAAATGTAGGCAGAGTTCTCTGATTCATTTTAAGATTACTGGGAGAGGCAGAGGGAATAGCACTTATATTAGTAATAAGTATCATCACTGCTTTGATTCTTGTGTGGCTGTGTGTTTGCCCCCGATGGCTCAGTACCTAGCCAGAAGATTCTTGGTGGAGAGTCCATCCATCTCCTCCTTGAGACTCCACTGTTGAATAACTAGACAATGTTTGCAGTGGTGGGGAACATGTCGTGCGTGGGCCAACTTATCAGAAATCAAATGGCATACAGTAGAGGAAGGAGAGTGTCTCAGGTGTTTGTATCTTTTCTTCTCCCTGTACCCTTCTTTGTCCCTCTTGGGCAAAATGGCTGGTGTTGGGGAATTCAGAACCAGGGGATCTGTCGTGACTCACTCAACAAGGTACCACTGTCCCTCACTAAGTTAACAAGATTAAACATAAGTATCTCTATTCACTTTTTCCCCCTTATTTCCCTTTCTTTCTTACTTAAAAGGTAGAGTACTAAATATAAGCTCTTTTAGATTTTTTCCACTAAACATTATTTCATAGAAATACCTCCAAGTCAGTTTGTAGAGATCTTTTTCATTCTTTTTATATCTGTATGTACAGCTGTTTGTACCACATTATATCCCATAGTTTATATTATCATAGTTTACATACATTACTTTAGTCTACAAATCTCCTATGCTTGTACGTTAAGGTGGTTTTGAGTATTTTACAATTACAAATATTCTGTAATGAATAACCTTGTGCGTATGTATTTTTATTGTTTGGTTTATGAATATGTATTAATTTAAAATATTAAAAAAACAGGAAAACTAGACACTAATATAAAACATATTTGAAGCCCAGGAATATTAATGGTATGATAAAATACCTTCCACACACACCCGTTAAAACTCTTCTCACAGTTTTCAGATCTAGCATTGTGGTAATTTATTTATGACTTTATAAAAATGACGGAAAATTATGCTATACACTTGTTATAAATTTGAAATCTAGGGATTTCACAACGAATCTCTTTTTAATTTAGTGGATTAAAGGACTTAATTTAGTGGACTACATTCTTTTTATGTAGCTCAGGATGAAGTGCCAGATGAAAATCGTATGCTTGAGCACCAGGACTCAATGTCAGAATCAGAAATTCAAATGAAGAAACAAAGAACTCACAAAATGGAAAGTCTTACTAGTAAGTATAAAAATTACAGATAACTTTAAATTATTTTAAATTAAGCTCATTAAAAGATCTTTTTATTTTGGGTCATACATACGTATTTAAGCGTATATTTCATAGAAATTTTACACTTTGACTAAAATGTGAATACCCTAAGATAACTAGAGAAAAAAAAGCAAAAATCTTAGTACTCTTTGGTTGGAATTTCTGGTCTTCAGATCTTTTCTTGACCATAGAACGTGCACTCAGTATACCCCAAAGCCCAAGAGCACTCGAGTAATTGTCTCTCCGTGCCTTTCAGCCGGCTCCAGGTAATTATGGATACAAAAGCCCAATGGACACCTCTGACCCATGGCAGTGGCCTTCTGTCATAGGCTGCAGTTGATAAACAGATGTTTCTGAGATCTATAACTCAAAGATCAAATGGAGATAAGAAGAGCCTAGGTGAAGGGCAGCCTAGGAGGCCCTTAAGGGCATCTTCTTGGTTATGTTCTCACTGGAAAGAAGCAGCCTTTCTGGTAACCCACAGATGGGTGTCATCAAGGACCCCAAGTGAGGAAAATGAGAGTGCAAGTAGTCAAAGAGTTCCACTAATTACTGGGCCTCTTTTTATTTATTGGAGTTGAATGGGCCAAAGCTTAGCCATCTTCTCCTCTGGAATGAGATGTTATGCCTCTTAGAGATCATGCTTACCTCTGGGAGCAGGCCATTTAGGGGTCATGACCTATGCCTTGATGACAAATATTTGAGCAATTCAGTAGCCATGTGAAAGACCTTAATAGTGTATTGCAACCCATTTCACAGAAGGTTAAATTGACCCTGATCATCTCTGTGGAAAAGGATGCAGCAAAATATGTTTATGTCAGTTGTTGCATATCAAGTTCCTTCAGTTTGACAAATAGCCTGTATGACAGTTACAATGTTAGGTGCCACCAGTGCCCAGGTCTGTACTATAGCATTGACCTATCAAAATTAGTTGAGTCACTGTGTACCTAAAGCCGTATACAAAGGTCAACTTAGGTATTAAAATGGGAAATCAAGTCTCATGGAGGATTTTCACTTCATTAAAGTCAGCAATGAGAGCAGTTATTTCTTTTGCTGCACAGGAATTTGTTTTGGGAGACACAGGTGCTAGGCACTGTTTAGTCTGGAGGTTTTCAGTCTTCCACATGCCCTATGAAAATGGCCCTAAATACAGCAGTTCCCATCAGGACTTGGGGCTGAATGTGAGTGAGGTGCACATAGAAAATACATCTATCCCAATGTACATTCAGTAGTAGGGGCTATGAAATGGAGTTTTTTTGGTGGCCTGAAAGGATACACTAATAGTAGTGTTTGACTAAGGGTCACCTTGATGATGCCCTCAGATGAAAAACCAGAGAGCATTGTCTCTTTCCTCCACTACTTGATGTCAGAGGTTACGGAGATCACAGTCACCTGTGCACCAGTATCCTAACGGCCTTAGCAATGCTATTTCCTCCCTTCCTCCTTTGAAATCTGACCTTGGTGTACATCCTCAGATCACCACCAGTGACAGGAATCTTGACCTAACCCCTAATTTTGTTTATTTTTGAAAGCTGGGAGGTCTGGGTGAAAGTAGTGGAGGGTTCTCTGATTTATCTCAATATCACTTGGAGGAACAGAGGGAAGAGCATTTATATTAGTCATAGGGGTCATCACAATTTGGACTTTAGTGGGGATATGTGTTGGGATCCATGACCCACTAGCTGGCCAGGAGATCTTTGGTGGAGAGTCAATCCATATCCTCCTTGAGACCCCATTGTTGAGTATCTAGTCTTACAGATTTCTTCGGGAAAACCCTTAACCAGATCATCCAAGAGTGGTGCCTCATTACCATTTTTAGTTGCTCTGTTCACTGGTCAAACAGTACTATCTTGTGGGTAGCTACTTTTTCCATGCCTGGAAGTTTCAGTTAAGATCTGTATTGTGCCTCAAATCAGTTGACGTCACCTTAAAAGGAAGTTTAACTGAATTAGGTAACCAGTGAAGTTGGCCTGAATGAAATTAGAAATCTTGAGTCTGGTAAAAATCTTTCCATTAGTGTTCTCACTCCATCTGTGATCCTAGGGACCACTAGGGAGGATCATAGAGCCATTAGAGGCTCTTCAAGAGCTGATACAAACATATTTTTCAGTGGGAGGGAACTCATAATGGGTGGGCCATACTGTCAGCACCAAAATAGTACCCAGCTAAGGAAGGGAAGAGTCTCACATATTCATGACTTTCATCCCCCTTTCCCTCTACCTCCTTGGGCAATATGTGTACTGCCGAGTCTTACAATGGGGTTCGACAGTGTGCCCCTCTCCCTCACTAAAGTTTAACAAGATTATCTCCTTCTTTGTGGAGGCAAACTACCTAAGTCTCCAAGGTCTTTTTGAGTCTCAGGGCACAACAATCCTCAGGACTCTACATTCTTTTCCATTAAAGGTAAGTCTCAGTAACTCACAGCATCGGAGGTTGTCCATTAGTGCCAAGGGTATGCTAGAACTAACAGTTGTCATTGGGTGCAACTCAGCATGCAGAGTCTCCATCTTTTTTGGACCCATCAATAACCACAAAATTACTTCTCTAGTTTTCTTAGAGTCCTTCTGTTGAGCTCCCATTTGACTCATTGGGCATCTTGAGGAGCTGGCCTGGTGGCATAGTGGTTAAGTTCACACGCTTGGTTTTAGCAGTATGTGGTTCGCTGGTTTGGATCCCAGGCATGGACTGCTCATCAAGCTGTGCTGTGTTGGCATCCCACACACAGAATAGAGGAAGATTGGCAACAGATGTTAGCTCAGCAACAATATTCCTCAAGCAAAAAGAGGAAGATTGGCAACAGATGTTAGCTCAGGGCCAATCTTCCTCATCAAAAAAGAAAAAGAAATGCTGTGATTCATTGGGCATCTTGGTAGGTGAATCATAGGCTAAAGAGAAAGACAGTTGTTCCCCATCAAAACTGATAAACGTATGTAAATAATACAGTAGCACTCTAGAGGGCCCCATGGCATCCTCTGGTACTTTCTAAGACTCATTTGCATGACTGGCAAAGTACTGTATGGGTCTCTGGCAAGTAACCAGTAGTACCCCTCTCCTAACCATGACCTGCACAGTCACTAACACCTCCCAAAGTGTTCCTTCCAGAAAGACATTTTGCTTCATTGACCACACTGCTCTTTGTGCTAATTTGCTAGACAGATGCCAATTTTTGAGTTGGTCTATTTAGATAACAAGCCAAACTCAAAGTGGCAACGTTTATTCACTTACTGCCATAGCATAGGCTATAGTCTAGATAGAGGAAGGCACCAGCTCCGCTAATGTTCCATTTTACCCCATGGAGCAGCACCTGACAAGGGTCAGATATATCATTGCAGACTGAGGCGGGGGATGGTCTCAGAGCTGAAGGAACCTCAAACAAAGGGTTCTTGATGTTTTTTGGACCCCAGGGCTGAGGCAGCTAGAGGTCTGAACAATATTAGCACATTTACTTATTTGCTCTATCCTATAATGTTTCTCAAAGCATTTCAGAATTGGTTAGCACAAGGCACTAGAAAAACAAACCAACTAAAAAGATTTCATGATTTGTTTGTGGTCCACCTCCCCCGCCCCACCCCAAGTCTCATGTCCAAGAGTGAGAGTTCATGTTAAATACTGTATTAATGAGTCACTGCTTTTAAGTTTCCTTTAGCAGTTTCTTTCAAGTTTGCTTTTTGCTTATATTCCATCTTCTTATCCTTATTGATATAATTTATTTTGAAATATGTAGAACATGAACGTACTTCCAAAAGCAGAAAGTATACAAAAAGGCATACTTAGAGGAGCCTCATTCCTTCCTCAATCTTCCCCCCTCATTTTGTGGGTAACCAATTACATTGTTTTGTGATATCCTTCCTAGGTTTCCTCTATTTCTTTCTGGTTTTTTTCTCATTTCTTCTTCTTCCTTACCCAAAGGTAGCATAAAAGTTTTCCCCTTTTCGGTTTTAACTTAAAATTTTCTTAGAAATCCCTCCATATCAGTGTATAGAGATCTGTTTCATTCATATTACAGCTCTATGTACCACACTGTTTACCATAATTTGTATTATACCATAGTATATAGTATATACCTCAGTTTATTTAACCAATCTCCTATGCTTGAAAATTTATGTGGTTTTGAATATTTTGCAATTGAAAATACGCTGTAATGAATAACCTTGTACATATGCATTTTTCTTTTTAGTTCTATGAAGATGTATTAACTTAAAGTGTAAATAACCCAAGGAAACTAGAATATATATATAAAATATTATATATGTAAAATATATTTATAATATATGTAGAATATAGATGTAAAATATTATATATATATTGGATGCCTAGAAATGTTAGTGATACAGCTTCAACACACACCTATTAAAAATATTCTCACAATTTTCATGCCACATCTTGCATTATGGTAATTTACTTATAAATTTATCAAAATGAAAGAAAATTTTGCTGTATATTTTTCATAAATTTGAAATCTAGAGATTTTCAGTAGATCTCTTTTTCTATTACGAGACTAAATGCATCTCTTTATGTAGCTCATAATGACATACCAGACAGAAATCTTATGCTTGAGCATCAAGATTCAGTGTCAAAACTCCAAATGCAAGTAAAGAAACAAATGACTTCCACAGGGGAAGAACACAACAGTAAGTGTAATAATTATAGATAAAGACGTTTTTAAAAATTAATCTCATCAGATCTTTTTTCTTTAGTTCATGAGTATATTTTTGAGCATATAATTTATAGAAATTTTACACTTTGAACTAAAATGTGAATACCATAAAACAACCAGAGAACAAAACCATTTAACATTTAGTTGGAGTTTCCAGTCATAAGACTACTTCATGTCATGGCTCTTGCACTCAGTGTCCAGCAAGGCCTAATAACTGGTCAGGAGTCTCTCAAAGGGTGTTTACTTTCAGCCAACTACAGGAGATTCTATGTCCAAAAGCCCAGTGGGCACCTCTGACATGTGGCAGTTGTCCTTTTGCAACACGCTCCAATTGGCAGGCAGAGAATTTGCTGAGACCTGTAACTTAAAATGCAAAATAGATTAGAGGAGGTAAGGAGAAGGGTGGCCTGTGTGGCCAGTTGGAGGTCCTCCAGGGCATCTTGGTGTCAGGCCCCACTCAGGGTAGAATTCTTTTTGGTAACTTGATTGATAGGTGCCGTCATCAAAATGGCCATGTAGGGAATGTGTGAGCACCAGTAGCTAAATAGTCCCGCCAGTTGCTGGGCATCCTTTGTATTTGTTGGAGCTGAGAGCCTGGGTGTGACTAAAACTCGGCGATTGTTTTCTCTGGAGTGAGACATACCATCCCTTCCCAGTTTTTTCCCAGGAATTTCACATGGGTCATGGGTCGTTGTGCCTTGTTGGTATTAATGGTGCAGCCATGTTGTTGCACGTGGGTCAACACAGCGTGCAGTCTTCGTTGGATAGTACCCTTGCCTGGGCCCACCAGGAGGATGTCATCAATATAGCGGAAGGCTAGTGCTTCATCTGGGAGTGGGACTTATTCCAGCTCATGGCCTTGTGGAAGGACACTGAAGGTATATTGCAACCCATTACACATAAGGGAAACTGATCCTGATCATCTGAGTGGACAGGGATCCTAAAAAGGGCATTTGAAATATGAATTACTTCGTACCTACTTCCCTCAGCTTGGGCAATAACCTCTGTGGCAGTCACAATGTTAGGTAATGCCAGTGCCAAAGGCTCTACTATACTGTTGAGCCACTGATAGTCAATTGAGTTTCCAGGCACCCAAGGCCTTGTGAAAAGATCAGATAGCGAACTTTGACAATGAGAGCAGTTATTTCTTTTTATCCCTGAGGCAATTGCTACTGTTTTTGAGAGACAAAAGCACTAGCTACTGGTAGTCTGGTAGGTTTACAGTCTTCTCCATACCCCACTAACATGGTCCTAATTGCAGCAATTCCCTTCAGGGCTTGGAAAATGCAATCAGGGATGCAGATAGACAATATATCTATAACAATAATCCCTTCAGTGGTGGACGCCATAACAATGGTGATATGCTATACCTTTAGTCGGGTCTGGGTGAGGGTCTTTGTAGTGATGGCTTTAGACAGAAAACCGGAAAGTGTCGTCAATTTCCCCCTCATTCTCATGCCAGGAGTTTTGGGGGTCACAGTCACCTGTGAACCATTAACCAAAAGGCCCAAGAAATGCAGTTCTCCCCCATGTCTACTTTGAGCTTAGACCTTGGCATAGGGCCTCCGTTCCTCACTATAGACATAGAGAGGTTGGGGATTTCAAGCTCTTGTTTTCTTTAAAGCAAAAAACTTTGGGTCAAAGTTGGCAGGGCTCTCTGATTCATTTCAAAATTCACTGGGAGAAGGAGGAACATTACTTGTAACAGTCATAGGGACCATCACCAGGCAGACCGTAGGGGGCCTGCCCTTTGTTCCCTAGTGGCACACCACATGTCCATGGGTTCCTTGATGAAGAGCCCATTAATCTCTTCTTTTGAGCTCCCATTGCTTAGTAACCAGACCCAGAGAGCTCTTTGGGAAAGCCCTTACCCAGACCTTCCAGGAATGTGTGCCCAATTACCATTTTTATGTCACTCTCTCTAATGGTCCCTGTTTGTTATTTTGGCAGTAGTTGCTTTTCCCTTGCCAAAGAACTTATCAGTTATGATTTGGATTATGTCACTGGCCTTACAAGGAGATTTAATTAATAATCAGCAGGAGTGGCACTAATAAACCTAGAGTCTTGTTAACAATCTTATCATCCACCACTCTCTTTCAGTGTAGAACCAAGGGGACCACTGGTGTTGTTTGCAGAGCTGCTATTATGTCTACAAGCTTGGTCCAAACATGTATTTTGGTTATAGGGAACCCATCACGGGTAGGCCAAAACTGTCAGAGCCCAAATAGTACCCAGCTGAGAAAGAAGAAGGACTTAGGTGTTCCCCTCAGACTCCTTGAACAAACTTTCTGCTGTCAGGACATTCTGAAGGATGGGTACCATAGTGATGCACCCCACAAAGTACCATTGTCCCTCACCAAGTTTAAGAAGACTACCTCTTTCATCATGCAAGTGAACAACTCAAGCCTTTAAGGTCTCTTTAGGTCACTGGGAAAAGCAATTCCAAAGAATTCTATATTCATTTAATTAAACCACAAGTCTCATTAACTTGCTATGTCATAGGCTGTTTATCATTGTCTGGGACCTCATTAGAGCTAACAACGATCATTGGCTGCAGCTTAGCTTGCAGAGTATGTGGGAATTTTAGTCCTATCATCACAGGACAATAGCAGTGGCCAAGGAATTGCTTCCTTAGATATTTTTAGAGCCCCTCTGTTGGATCTCTAATTTGACCCACCAGGCATTTTGGCCAGTGAGTCTGGGGCTAAAGGAAAGGACGATTAAACCAAAGAGAAGGACCTTAAAACCAAAAAGCTTACATAAACAATCTGCTGGCACTCTCCAAGAGTGTTCCGTGGCATTCCTGAGATAGCACTTCCTGAGACTCATTGATATGGCTAGCAAAGTGCATCGTTGGACCCTCAGACTCTTGCAAATGACCAACTAGTACCCCCACCCCCAAGAAGCCCTGTAGACTTCTCTAGCATCCCCCAAAAATGATCTGGGGGATCATCACACTTTTTACTTTTCCAGAAAGAAAGACATTATGCTTAATTGGGCCACCTACTTGCCACCATTTGCCACTGAGAGAGAGTTGCCATTTGGGAAGGTGATCAATTAAGACAATGAGCCAAACTGAAAGTAACAATTAAGTCTCTATTTACTTATTGCAATAATATAACCAAGAGTCTAAACGTGGAAAGGGTACTGGCTCCACCAATGTTTCAACTAATGTTTCATTTTCCTGTGAAGTGATTATGGGCAAGGGTTGGATGAATTAGCACAGATGGGAGGAGACTATCTCACTGTATGTATAGTTATTTTTACCAAATTATATCCCTTCTATACCATATATAATATGTATTTATACACACACACACATGCACCATCATATACCATAACTGGTACTATGCTCTTTTTTCCAGTCTTATTGAGATATAATTGGCATACATCACTGTATAAGTTTAAAGTGTACAGCATAATGTTTCACCTTACATGTATTATGGAAGGTAGTATGCTATCGTTTATGGTATATATATCAGTTTATTCAACCAATCTCCTATTCTTGAACATTTGGATGATTTTAAATATTTTGCGATTATAATTGATGCTAAAATAACCAACACTGTGCATATGCATTTTCATTGATTGGTTTATAAATATGTATTAACCTAAAGTTTAAATAATCTAAGAAAACTAGAGTCTAATATAAGCATATTTGATGCCTAAGAATATTTATAAAATAAAAAACAGCTTCAACACATACCCATTAAAAATGTTCTCTTAATTTTCATATCAGATCTAGTATTATGAAAATTTCCTGGGACCAGCCCCGTGGCCGAGTGGTTAAGTTCGCACGCTCCACTGTGGTGGCCCAGGGTTTTGCCGGTTTGGATCTTGGGCGTGGACGTGGCACTGCTTGGGCCACATTAAGGCAGTGTCCCACATGCCATAACTAGAAGGACCTGTAACTAAGATATACAACTATGTACCGGGGGGATTTGGGAAGATAAAGCAAAAAAAAAAAAAAAAAAGAAAGAAAATTTACTTATGACTTTATAAAAATGAGAGAAAATGTTTCTATTCACTTGTTATAAATTTGAAATCTAGAGATTTTACAGTGGATCTATTTTCCCATTAAGTGACTTAATTTATCTCTTTATGTAGCTCTTGATGAAGTATCAGATGAGACTCTTATGCCCAAACATCAAGATTCAGTGTCAACCCAAGTTCAATTAAAGAAACAAAAAACTTCCATAGGGGAACTACTCAATAGTAAGTATTATAATTATAAATAATTTTGTATCATTTTAAGTTAAATGCCTCAGAAGAACTTTGTTTTGTGAATATGTATTTGAGCATATATTTTATAGAAATTATAAACTTTGACCTAAATGTGAATACCCTAACATAGCCAGAGAACAAAAGCAAAAACTGCTAATATGTTTTGGTTAGAATTTCTTGTAGTAAGATTATTACATGGCCAAAGTCATGCTCTCAGTGTCCACCAAGGCCCATAGTGGACCAATAATTGTCTCATAAAGGATAGGCACTTTTTAGCCAACTCTGGCAAACTGTGGATCCAAAGCCCAGTGGTGTCTCTGACCCATGGTAGTGGCCTTATGCCATAGGCTCCAGTAGGTAAAGAGAGATGTTGCTGAGACCCATAACTGAAACAGCAAATGAAAATCAGAAGGGTCAGTAGAAGGGCCTTCAAGGGATCCTGTCCATCAGGACCCCAAAGGTAGCGATCTTTATGGTAACCTGATAGATGGATGCTATCTGATCCCTGTGAGAGTGTAGTGGTATCTGAATAGTCCTACCAATTGCATTCACTTTGTGGGACAGAGAAGGCCAAAAGCATAACAATCGTCTTCTCTGGAATGATATACTATGCTCCTTACAGATCGTGCCCAAGAATTTTACTTCAGTTTTAGTAATAATGGCCCAGCCATGTGCTGCATCTAGGTAAACAGGCCACCCAATTCTTTTTGGGTCGTGCCCTTGGGTCGAGCCCACTAATACGATTTCATCAATAGAATGGAAGGCCAGTACTCCCTCCATGAGTGGGACTTTTCTCAGGTCTTGACCTATGCATTGATTACAGATAGTCAGAGAATTTAGGGAGTCTTCTGGAAGGACATCAGTGGTGTGATGCAACCCACCCTACATACAGCAAATGAATTCTGATCGTCTGCTTGGAGAGAGATGCTGAAAAGAGCATTTGTGATGTCAGTTGCAGCATATCAAGTTCCTTTATCTTAGGCAATAACCTCTGTAACTGTCACAAAGTCAGGTGCCACTGGTCCCAAAGACTGCACTAATGCCTTGTGCAGCCCTGATCAATTTAGAATCTAGGTACCAAAGGTCTTGCGCACAGGCCAGGTGGAGTTATTGAATGGAGAAATGGTTTACAGACGTTGTTGACTTTTTAAAGCTCAACGATGAGGGCAGTTGCTCCTTTTTTATTCCCTAGGCTGTTGATATTATTTTTGGCAGAAAATGTGCTAGGTGCGAATAGTTTGGTAGGTCATGAACTTCCATATATCCCACTAAAATACTTTAACTTCAGCAAATCTCACCAAGGGTTAGGAGTAAGTGCAAGTGCTGCTTGATATAGAAAATATACTTCTACCAATATATATTCAGCAGTAGAAGCCACAATAATGGGAGTTTGTAGTGGCCCAAAGGGATTCACCCATAGCTGAGTCTGGAAAAGAGTCCTGGTGGTGATGGCTTCAAACCTAAAACTACAGAGAATTATTTGTTTGTTCCTCATCCTCATGTCAGGGATTGTGGGGATCATAGGTATTCATTAACTAGTATCCAAAAGGCCCAAGAAATGTAGTTACCTCCCTCCACTTTGAACTCTGACGTTAGCATATGTCCTCAGATCCCCAGTGGAGACATAGGGACCATGGCTAACTCTAGTCAAGTTCATTTATGAAAGCTTAGAGGTCTGAGTAAAAGTAGGAAGAGTCTGTATTGATGGGCCCCACAAGATACCACTCTCACTCACTAAGTTTAACAATATTACCTTCTTAATCAATGAAGCAAACTACCCAAGTCTCTAGATTCACTGAGATATTACCGTGGGAGATAGCTGGAGGAAATAGTACTTGTATTAGTCATAGTAGTCATCACTATATGGAACCCTAGTGCCTTCTGGGACCCTCATGGCTTACAACTTGGCCACAAGTCCTTGGTGAAGAGCCCATCAATTTATTCCTTTGAGAGACCCCAGTTTTGATAACCAGATCCACGTTTCTCCTCTGTAAGACCATTGCCTAGATCGTTCAGCAAAGGGCACATGATTGCCATTTTTATGTCACTCTCTCCATTGGTCAGCGTTTGCTATCTAGGCAACAGCTACTTTTACCATGTCCAAAAATTAGTCAGTTAAGATCTGGATTGTGTCGTGGATCGATTGACATGATCTTATGAGGAGGTTTGATTGAGTTCCATAATAAACAGGATTGACACACATGAACCTAGAAATCTGAGTCTGGTCAATCATCTTGTCATCAATTCTCACTGCATTACTGTACACCCAAAGGTCACCAACATGGCTTTCCAGGATACTATTATCTCTAAAAAGATAGTCATATATGTTTTTCCATGCGAGAACTCATCATGTGTGGGCCAAATGGTGCCCAGCTGAGGATGGAGGTGGTCTGTTTTAGCATCCTTTTATATTCCTTCCTATTTCCTGCCCTCTCTTTAGGTAAAGTGGCCACTGTTAGCACATTCTGAAATAGGGGTCTGTAGTAATACATCTCACAAGTTGTCCCTCTCAGACATTGAGTTTAACAAGATTACCCCTTTCATCAAGGAGGCAAACTACCCAGGTCCCTAAGGTCTCTTCAGGTCACTTGGCAAAGCGATTCTAAAGACCTTTACATTTTTTTCATTAAAGGCACAAGTTTCAATAACTTGCTGTGTTGTGGGCTGTCTTTTGGTATCAGGGACATGCTTGGAGATAACAATAGTCAACTCAACTCATAGGGTCTTTGATGATTGTTGGACCCATTATCAGAGAACTGTAACCAGTAGCTAGGGAATTGCTTCTCTAGCTTTCTTAGAGTCCCCCTGTTGGTTCTCTAATTGGACTCACCATGGAAACTTGGCCAGGGAGTTAGGAGCTAAAGGGAAGGATGAATTATTCCCCTGAGAACTGAAAATCTTATGTAAACAATCCATTAGAATTCTTCCAGATTACTTTGTGGCATCCACTAGCACTTCCTGGGAATTGTGGCATGGCTGGTGAAGTGCCCTCTTGGACCCTCAGACTCATGCAAATTATCCACTAGCATTACCTGAGAGTGCCCCAAAGACTTTTTTTTAGCGTCTCTCAAAAGTGCCCCATAAGAGCATCGGATATTTTGCTTTTCCACAAAGGTATTGTGCTTCAATGACCACCCTGCTTGCTGCGTCAATTTGTCAGAGGCAGAGCTGCCATTTTTGAGTCAGTCAATTAAGATAACAATCCTAACTGAAAATAGTAATGAAGTGTTTATTGATTTACTGAGAATAGTATAAGCAAGAGCCTAAACAAGGAAGGGCCCTAGCTCCACCAATGTGTCATTTTCCCCACAGAATGGCACCAGAGGAAGGTCACGTGCATCAGAGCAGATGTGGTGGCAGGAAGGGGGGACGTCTCACTGTGTTGAAAGAGTCCTCCTAAAAAGGCTACTGGTGTTTTATGGACCCAGGTGCCATGAGGAAGTAGAGGGGGAGGGCTTAGAGTGGAAAAGTACTGAACCAGAATGGAGAAAGGGTTTTCAAGGTCCATCCCACAAGGTAGTCTAGGCAGAACTGACTGAACAATATATTGCCTCAGCTGAGATTTTCTCCAGCTCATAAGGTTTCCCGATGGATGCACCTGAGCGAGAATGCAGATATGACCAGCCCCGATGGGCTTTAGTCCATGACCTCCTATGTCTGCAGTACACTGTCTGAGCATCAAGTATAGTATGGGGTGTGAAGTTTCCCCCCATGACAAATGCCAGATAAAGCCTTTGTAGTTGTCTATGATTGGGCCTAAAAGATCACACATAGAATTTTGGCATGGAGTCAGACTTTCCTAGTATTTATACATATACAAATATACACATATGCATGTGTGTGTACATATACAGACGTATGTGCACATATAGATGCATATACACATGCACAGTCATATTTAGAACTCATATGCTCTCACACCTTCAGTTCCCCTCAGGGCTTGTTCTTGCCTTCTTCCATTTCATACATGTATATCCTTTCTTCCACAGTGTGAATCCTGACTCTGCACAATGTCAACGCACGGACTCATTTGTTTAATCCTATAATGCTTCTAAAATTGTTTCAGAATTGTTTAGCTCATACCACCAGAAAAACAAATCTACTAAAAAGATTTTGTGATTTGTTTAAAGTCATCCTCCGCTCTCTTGTCCAAGAATAAGAGTTTATATCAAGTATTATATTGATTAGTTACTTGAATTGGTATTTTATTTATTCCTTCAGTAGGTTCATTTCTTTAAGTTTGCTTTTGGTTTTAGTCCTTTAAAAATTTTTTTTGATTTAATTTTATTTTTGGACTTTATTGAAATTAACCTACTTCCATATTAATAAATATGCAAAAATGTATACTTAAAGAAGTATCATTCCTTTTCCAGTCCTCCTCTCTCCTCTGATTGGTAACCAACTACAATGCTTCTGATACCTTTCTTGTGCTTCATTTTGCATATATAAGTATCTCTCTCATAGTTTTTTATTTTTCTTTTTTTCTTTTTTTGAAGAAGATTAGCCCTGAGCTAACTACTGCCAATCCTCCTCTTTTTGCTGAGGAAGACTGGCCCTGAGCTAACATCCGTGCCCATCTTCCTCTACTTTATATGTGGGATGCCTACCACAGCATGGCTTTTGCCAAACAGTGCCATGTCCGCACCCGGGATCCAGACCGGCAAACCCCGGGCTGCCGAGAAGCAGAACGTGCGAACTTAACCGCTGCGCCACCAGGCCGGCCCCAGTTTTTTTCTTAATTCCCCTTCTTTCTTTCCCAAGTTAGAGTACTTGATATTCTTTGTTTTGCTTAACATCATCTCCTAGAAATATCTTAATGTGAGTTTATTGAGATCTTTTTTATACTATAGAAGATATATCGAAATTTGTACTATACCATAGTATAAATATACCTTAATTTATTCAACTAATAATATAGTATAATAATATAGCATAAATAGACCTTAATTTATTCAACTGCCTACACTAATACATTCAGTTGGTTTTGAATA